AAAAAAAATAAAAAAGAAATAAGAAGAGCTGCCGACACCCTCACCATTCACTTCCTTCGTTGGACTTTTGTTTCTTTTTATAAAGGAGAAATTAGAGTGTTGGTTCTCAATGTTCTAAAATTTTTGTACTTTAGTCCTTAGATTTCATAATTCTACAATTTAATCCTCATTCTGATCAATTTATTCATCCTTTAGCTTTGTGAATCATGGTCATTTAGTTTCAAATTTATGATTTGTAGTAGTTAGGTCACATCCTTAACAAATAATGGAAACAATGTAAAATCAAATAAAATCATATTAAATCCATTCAAATATTAATAAAACCAAAGATAAATTAGCATCATATTATGCACAAGAAATCAACGCATCAAGTATTATAGGAACAGTTGGTACATTTTTATATTGAAGTTTTGTTAGAACTTTTGTTATAAAGGAGAAATTAGAGTGTTGGTTCTCAGTGTTCTAAAATTTTTATACTTTAGTCCTTGGATTTCATAATTCTACAAATTGATCCTCAGTCTCACCAATTTATTCATCCTTTAACTTTGTGAATCATGGTGATTTAGTTTCAAATTTATGATTTTTAGAAGTGACACAAATAATGGGAATAATGTAAAATCAAATAAAATCACACTAAATCCATTCAAATATTAATAAAATCAAAGATAAATTAGCATCATATTATGTACAAGAAATCAGCCCATCAAGTATTATAAGAAAAGTTGGTACATTTTTGTATTGAAGTTTTGTTAAAACTTTTGTTAGACTATTAATACTAAATTTTTCATATCAGAAAGAGAAAAAAAAATAGAAAAAGAAAAATGGAATTAAAAGGAGGATTTTGATAACAATAGTTGAAGACAACTTTTGAAAGAGTATTGCAATCCGTGAGGTATAGAGGTAAGTGAAAAGGAATTAGAAAATAATGTTAAAAAGTTGTGCCACTTATATTTTAACTTAAAACATTTTTAATTTATAGTGGGAGATAGAAGGATTGAAAGATGCAGTCTCAATTGTAACTATTATATCAAAATTTGTAATTGAAGAATAAAAGGCAACATGATACAAATGATAATTATTATTTTATTAAAATATCAACCCTTAATAACATAGAAACACTAAGAACTCAAAGCCTAGTAAATAATAAGGACT